TGATTTCCACTTAGTTCCAAAAATGGCAGCAAATATCGAGTTATATTCAGAATATTAGATGGAGCTTAAACAACTTAGACGGTTTTTTGTTTTTTATGTTTATTTTAAATTTTTGTTATGAGAAAGAAGCTGCAGAAAAAATTGTGGTTTGAAAAACTGAGTGAAATGATTCATATGGTTAGACTAATTTAGCCAAGAGTTTTATGTAGTATTAAATTAAGTTTTATTTTTCTGTATAGACTCATTTAGTTTATTCTTTGTCCTAGTAGCAACAAGAAAGAATATTTCTAAAGGCGTGAAAGAGGCACTTTTATTTTTACAGTAATGGTTGAGTTCTCTTGGACAAGATTCTTATATTACCCTGAAAAACTAATTGTGCTTTGGTCCTGTACTTTCAGAAGATGACAAACAAATATGGTTTAGAGCAATTACAGAGATTGTACATACCAGTAAGTAAAACATTTTCTTTCCTATTTATTTTATTCCTTAGGGTTTTGTTTTGTTTTTTAGTTTTGATGTTCTGGTACGATGCAGACAGGGGTGGGGGTGGGATGCCAGGGAGTGTTATAAGGGGGTTTGCTGTGTATACAGTGTACAGATTATCGCTTGCTTCTCTGCCTTTAGCATAGAACACACACACAAAAAAAAGACACATTGAACACAGCCATACGATAACTCAAAATAACAGAAGTGTGCTTTCTATGTTGTCTGGAGTGAAAACTGCTTCATACAAGCTGCTAGATGCAAACTGTTCTGGTGTGATGTAAACAAGCAATAACAAGTACTTGAGAATCTCTTGGGGATTTTGTTTTGTTTTTGTAATTTTTGTACAGTTTTCCCAAATATAAAGGACATGTTTTTTGCTCCTGGTTGGGATGCAGTATTAAACACAGTTTTTTATTGCAGTTTGTACCACAAAAGTCTACATCCACAACAGTGTTCCTATTAGATTATGCAGCACTGGCTGGGGCAGGGAGAGTGAAGTATTTTGTGATGACCCCCCCTGCGTTGACACCCTCTCTGCCTCCAGCCGCTCTTCTATAGCAGAGGTCACAGTTAAGACTGCACGGTTCGTGAGACCTCCTCTGACAGACATTTAGCCATATTTTATGACCTCAGGCAGTTAGCTCATTATAAAGTGTTCGGTAATGACATGCTGTTCTTGTGCCCCACTAGGGGTTTGGTTTGAACTCTACAAGATCTAAAGCAAGTCATTTTCTCTAACCTCAAAAATACACTTTCCGCAAAAAGAAGAAAAAATCTTTTTATATGACTTATTTTAACCCAGGACAAACTTGGAGAAAGCCAAATAATTCTCATCTTTCAATTGGATTCCTGAATTGTACCAGCTTGTATTTCCATAGCGACATGACCTGTTGGGCAACATGTGTGGGGGCCCACAGAAAACAAGACTCCACAGTGATGTCATTTAACAGGCTCTAATGTAATAGTTTCAGCATAAAACTGAAAGAGAATCATTCTGAATGTATTGTCATTGAAGACGTAAGGATGTGACCTGTTAACAAGGTGTTAACCATGATTTTTTTTTCTTAAGAGAAAAATTCTCTATGAAACCTGAAGTTGTAGCAAAGTCGATTTTAGGACAAAGGAAGAAGCTGTATGCCATACAGCTGCTCTCATTTAAACATATATATATATATATATTTACAGACTGTTTTGAGTGTAAATGAATGGTCGTGCAGGACAAGCCTTTCTGGGCCATTTTAAAGAATGATTCACAGCCCTTTGCAAATTTCCAAAGATCGTCAGGACTTTAAAAACACTTCAAGCCATGTGGTAGCAGTGCATTTTTTAGCATTTATAATGAGGACGGGTACAAATACACGATTTTTGCCCCTTACACATATCCAGGCTTTGGAGACACTAAACGAAAAATATTTTTCTGTTTTAATTTATGATTTTGAAGAAATGCCCTTTTGTATTGTCTGCAAATTTGGTAGAGCTAAGATGCAACCTTGAAATGCTAAAACCTCTAGCATAATGCCTTAGATTGCGTCCGTTTCCGGTCTTGTACATTACACCGCTGTCTGTATAAATGTGTATAATGTGTACAGTATTGAAAGGGGTCGCTAAGCTCATCTCAGTTACTGGAGACTGTCCCACAGTCACACATTGCTCAGTCATCGCTTTTTTGTTTTGTGGTGGGTTCAAACTGTTATCCCCCCCCCCTCCCACTGTTTGTATGGAAGCGATGATACGTGGAGATATTGAAGCAATATGTAATATACTATATGGGCTTTCTGAAGAAACTTTGTGTGCGATATTTTCTCTGCATTGTTCCCATGAGTCACTGTACACCCGCATTCACCTTTGTACCGCTAGTGTGTGAGCGTTTTATGCAACAAACCACAGTTATGCAAGTTGTGAACTAATATGGCTTCGCTGATGCTATTTGCCATGTAAATAAAGAGTTCTGTTATTGCAGTATTTAATGGAATGACTCTTATTTTGGTGACCGTGAGGAGAGACGGTGGTTTGAGCTCAGAAAACAATTTTAGGCCTTGTTTTACATTTTGTTGTGTTCCGACGCGTTGGTTATAAAACGCACAAATAAGCAATATGTTTAGATTTCTAGTCTGACGCAGCTAAATAATTCAGTTTATAAGCCAAGTTGACTTACTGGATCCAAGGGAGAAGCTAAACAATAAAGAAATAGGAGTTTTAGATCATGGTCCCTGTGCCATAAAGTTTTTGAATACACGCAGAAATTCACGGTGATTCAATGCGAACACCCCAAAATGAAATGTTAAGTATGCCTGTTTATTTATTCGATGTTTACCGGGTTATAAAATATCAAGAATTTAGCCTCGTTATGCAATGGCCGTTCCTAGAAGAGCGTTTAAATAATTTAAGGAAATAAAAACGCAAAGTAGCACGAAGAGCAAACGGTGATCAAACAAAATGACCACGAATCTAAATATCAAGTAGAACTATATAAAAGTCATTTTCAGCTGCACTACTCGTTTTCTAAGATTGGCGTTAGATAAAATATGACTAATAAATGGACCACAAAACTCCACTGGAGGCCTTCGGGTAAAACCTTACCAAGTGCGTGTGTGTTGGGTTTGGGGATGGCCTTCATATGGAAATGTGTGGGGAACCTCTGGGTAGCAGGAAAAGCAGCCTGGTGTTGAGAAGTCACCGGGGGTGGGTTCTGGCTGAGGTGCATTGAGATGCATGAGGTCGAGCTGCGTCCTGGCCAATAGGAAGACGGCACCGGGAAGCATCTCCATCAGACCTAACTGTGTACAGTAGTGTAGGTGGCCTCAGATGACCACACACAGAAAGAGAGGTTCCTCCACTCAGGCCTCCAGAACTAAAATCTGTGAACATGACAGCTCCACTGTGCTTCATCTGCTTTGTTTAGAAAGGTAAGCTGATTTTCCGCCTAAACAAATTTCGCTTCAATATCCCACTGCTACATGGACAGTTACAATCTGTGATATTTACTATTAAATATATATTTTTTAATCATCTTTTATAATTAATATAGATATTGCCATTGGCCTTCTGAAACTGAGACGCATGGCGCACTCCACTCTTTCATTTCTGCTAAATCTTAAATTCTTTGTACGGAACTCTTGGCAATAATATTTCATTTAGAAACATTTCTCCAAGACTTGCTTTGCCGATGTCTTTTTAGAATGACGGCACTGTCATTGCAAAGTCCATAAAAAGGCTTCATTATTGTTGACCTCGGCTCTGGCTGACTCTTCTTTAATTAGTGTCATGACCCTGATTTGTCTTTCTATTTACTGGCTGACTGGTAAACGGTTCCTAAAAACACACTCCATGTTCCAGTCGGTCATTTAAAGCCGCTGATGATGTGCGTCTGGCGTGTGTCCCCTCAGGTGGAAATATTGCAAATTCGGCTCCAATTTCCCAACGATTGAAGTCTTCATCAATAGCTTTGTGTCCAGTGTTTTCATCTGTAGCAGCTGTCCATATATTTGTGGGATTGTCTTTCATTTTTAAAACGAAAGCTTTTATTTTTTCTACTCACGTTTATCAACAGTATTGTAATATTCCCAAAGGAACAACTAATGCGCCCCTCCTAGTTTTCTGTTTATGGTATTTTTTGCATCCCCATATCTTATTGGGATTTGTTGTTTCCATTTAAATGTTTGACGTTTAGTTTTATTTGCTCTGGGGTAATTCGTTGGGATACTAAACGCTTTCTGGAATTAAAATGATCAGTTCAGGTGTGGCCTTTTGCTGTCATGTTTCCTTTTTTAGCTTTCTTGCATTAAACTTTTATAACTCACCCCCGATCCCTCATCCCACCCCCCTCTCTCTGTCTGCTGAAGGATACACCACGTCTCCATTTGAACCTTTGCTTCACCTCCCTGCTGTCACGTCGGTGCACCTGTCCACCATCCCTGTAATGCTGAAGGACAAGAGCTACCAAGCCGGCATGCTGAAAGCCAGTCCCGCCCGGGGCTTCTACCCGCACCCTCTCCCCAGCCCCCATCACTACATGGACTTCTTCCCGCGGACGCACAGCCTCCTCCATCCGCTTAAATCCCTCGGTCGTCTTGTGTCGGACGCCGAAGCATCCCTGCCACTCAATCTTCAGAGCGGAACCCCTCCTTTCCTCGGACAGGGAGGCCACCACGCCTCAGTCCTGCATGAACACATGTTGAACGTCTCCGGAATCCCCTACCTGAGCCAGATGTTGCCCGGACATCCTCTGTACTCCAAACCGGAGGAGCTGGCTGCTGTGGTGACCGAACACGCCGCCGGTCCGCTGTCTTCAGACTTCAGTAGCTGCTCCACTGACAGGTCCTCGTCTACCTCTTCCTCCGCCAACTCACCACCCAAAGACAGTTTGTTTCGCCTCCGTGGCGCAGCGCTCTCACCAGAGAAAACGCGCACGTCTTATAATTTTAGTGAGGACGACTTGTTCACGGTTCTTTACGGTTATTCCAGCAGCCAGGAGCGCAGCGCGGGTCATGCTATCTCTGGAGTGGCCCTGCCCGAAAACTCAGGTGAGACTGTGGTTTTTTCATAGTGAAATGACCAGATGTTAATATAGTCCAATATAAATATATAACTGCATTCTTTAGCCTGTAATTTGGCTTCGTTTGTATCTTGTAAGGAAAATCTTTAAAATAAAGTGCCATTATATCTAACAGCACAATTATATTTATTTAGTTAGCCATCGATAACTGCTTACAGTAGGTTTTATTCCCCATTTACTAACCTGTTTGCTTTCTGTTTCAGTTTCTGACGCTCACATTCTCCCACTGGATAAAGAAACACTTGAGCTTCCAGAAGGTAAGCCCTTATAACACTGTCCACCTTTAAGATGTATGCTTTATTGCCGTGCACAGGTTTGACACTGTGAACTGTGTCGCAGGGTTAACCATCCTCCAAACAGCCTGGGGAAAGATCTCACACTGTGGAGTCTTCACAGACAAAAACAATATATCAAAAGGAATGCGCTTCGGGCCTTTCCAAGGGAAACTGGTCAACACCAGCGAGATTAAAATATACGATGACAACACATTAATGTGGGAGGTAATGCTTTATTTTCCCACGTTCTGGTCCTATAGAAACTACTGACTTCGTTTCCACTCCCCAAATCACTCTCGTTCATCCCTCAGGTGTTTGAGAACGGCCGGTTGAGTCACTTTGTGGATGGCAGGGGAGGATCGGGAAACTGGATGTCTTTGGTGAAGTGTGCTCGTTTTCCTGAAGAGCAGAACCTGATTGCTGTTCAGGTCCAGGGCCAGATCTTCTACGAGGCTTGCAAAGAGATCAGGCCGGGCCAGGAGCTGCTGGTGTGGTATGGAGACTGCTACATGCAGTTCCTCGGCATCCCACTCACCCTGAAAGACCCCAGAGAGGACAACAACGTGGCTCCGCCCACTGAAGGTCTGGAATTCTGCTCGTCATACAGCCTATTGTCATTATGATTGTCCCTACTGTATATCCATTATTAATTTACAAGGTATAAAGACCCAGGCAAGTGAGTATTTTGTGATATCGGGCTATACAAATAAAAACTGACTTGATTGTACCTTTGTGTTGCTTTGACTCGGGTTTAATCAAGTCCCTCTTTTCCCCCAGATGCTGGTGAAGGGTTCAAGTGTGACAGATGTGGCAAGGTGTTTGCATACAAATACTACAGAGACAAACATCTGAAGTACACACGCTGCGTGGACCAGGGCGACAGAAAGTTCCCCTGTCACCTCTGCAACAGATCTTTCGAGAAGAGAGACAGATTAAGGATCCACATCTTACATGTTCACGAGAAACACAGGCCTCACAAGGTATGTTATGTCTGTTGCAGTCACTGTACAGTACAGTGCAGGTCATTACATCATTGCATTAGGCAGCAGGGTCGATAGGTGCTTGCAAATGTATGTGTGCAGCTGATAGATGAGCTCCCTGCAGCGTCACGTCGAGCCGGATGCTTCGGATCTTTACTTGGCCTCATAAAAAGGCAAATTACTGTAAGACATCTACTTGGTGGCAACAACAGCCAACAGCATTAGAATCAAGTGACACTAACAAAATTAATTATAAAAAAAGTTCATGTTTTAACCTATTAGAAGTTGTTATCCACAATACTTTAAGTAAAATACATTTTAAACTACAATCAACTCGTCCACAAAAATGTAAACAAGTTCGGGTTATTTTCCCTAAAACATATCCAGTTGAAATGACTGTCTACTTGTGTCTTGTGTGATCTGCAGTGCTCAGTGTGTGGAAAGAGTTTCTCACAGTCTTCCAGTCTCAACAAACACATGCGTGTGCACTCTGGAGAGAGGCCATACAAGTGTGTGTACTGCAACAAGGTAAGCAGCCAGCAGCCAAGACAAATTCAACTTAGTGTACCCTGAAATTCACAGTATCCTGCTTAAAAAAGAGTTACCAGAAGGCATATGAGGTATGTGGTGTCTAATCTCCCCTTATAAACCGAAATGACTTCAGATATTCTGTAAAATGTGAATTGTAGTTTGTTACGTTTTTATAATTTGATTTATGTTGTTTCTGACCAGAAAACAGGACGCGTTGAATTGTTTAATTGTTATAGTCATTCTCACACGGAATCGCATAATGTAGGCTAAAGGTACGGAAAACTGTATAACACTTTTATTTAGGAAATAAACTAAAGAGAACTGTACAGAAATAGTCTTCCTATGTCTACAGGAGGCCTTCTCCTAACTCGTGTTTTCTTTATTATTTTTTTTTAAATACAGGTATGGCTTATATAAAAGTTTTTAGATCCCCCCGTTATATCTGTATAGCTACCTCCAGACTCCTTCGGCTCTTCTCTTCTTCTACGCTTCTTTTAAACCCGGAAGTTTTGATGGTGCATTTGGCACGAGCCCCTCGTTATTGTGTCTCTCAGGGGCGCGCTCCATGGAGACACTTACATGCTAATTACGGCCAGATGTACACCCACGCCTTTGTCTTCCGAGATTAGACTTTTAATTTACAGCGCTGGAATGAGCAGAAGTGTTTTGTCCCTTCTTCTGCAGTCTTCCCCCTTTTACACACTCAGAGGAGGTTTCTGTTCAACCTTCTCATTGACTGCGCGGTTTAAGAAACACACCACGGTTTCCACCCACTTAAATGGTTGTTGCACTGCTTTCATGAAAACCATGCAACAGAAACGATCAAATATAATTGGTAACCCATATTCTTTCAGTTTTTTTTTTTTGTATTAGTCATCATTAAACCAAGTTATTTTGCGGCAAAGCGCTAATGATAAGGTGAGCCGTGTTGAAGTTGCTTATCAAAACAGGCCCAGGATTTACTTATTTGTGCATTTATTTGCTTATCCTTTTGTCATCAACGTAACGGTCATTGTGTATTTAAAACGAAAAAAGGCAAAAAATGGGATCCAATCTGCTTCCAGGCCTTCACTGCCTCCAGTATTCTGCGCACACACATCCGCCAACACTCCGGAGAGCGACCCTTCAAGTGCAAGCACTGCGGGAAGGCCTTCGCCTCCCACGCCGCCCACGACAGCCACGTCCGGCGGACCCACGCCAAAGACAAGCCGTACGCCTGCGACCTCTGTGGAGCTTCTTTCCAAGAGGAGCAGGAGCTAAAATATCATATTAAAAGTCACAAAAGTAAGGACTTAACAGGAGGCTAACTCCTTTTCATTGTGCTTAGAATTTGAAGTTGTCTTTAGGGGAATTATGAACGCTTTAAAATAATGCACGTAATTTAATTTGTTAAATTTGACTTTAAATCCAGAAAATCTTTAGTAAGTGCAATCTATTAATGCTATAAACGTGGGAGTGTCTGTTAATTGCGGATATCGCACATATAAATTAACGCTTTAAAAAAAAGCTGTTGTTTGCACGAAAAATGTTGGTTTCTTCCAAATTCATTTACAAGCTTTTTAAAATTTGTTTTGGGGAAATAAATGCTGTAGCCCGAAAAGGGGTAATGTTGCATCATTTCCTTGTGTTTAAACATTGGTTATTTCTTTTCTCTCGCCGCAGAAAGACAAATCTCGGACAGCACAGCCTTCCCAGCTTCTCCAGGGAGTGGACTTCAGGAGGACTCCGGGTGTCTAGTGAAGGACAATCCGAAAATACAAAAAAGCGCCGGACAAAGCTTTTCTTACACCGGGTTAACAGTTTTAAACCCGGAATACCGGCCCTGGAACTAGTCTCGCCTGCATGAGCTAAACTATACCTCGTAAATGATTCTAATCGTGTGTAATAGGGTATTTTTGGAGGATATTGGATGATGTGTTTTTACAGAAACCTTGGCGATTATTAAGGATGTCAGGATCTAGTAGTAGTCCTCTAGGTAAAAGCTGCTCAAGAAAAAAAAGAGCTCTGTAATAAAGCTAATTAAATGGGCTCATTTTAATTTAAATTGTTGGCAAAATGTGTCGAAATCTATTTATTATATGTGGAAAATATGTTGTGTGTTGTGTCGTGTTGTGGCTTAAAGCTTTCACTCTGCGATGGTATTGTGAACCCAGTAGGTAACATAGGCTAATAATAATAACAACCAAAACTATTATTTTTATTTGTTGTTATTATTAGCTAAAGTTTCTCATCATTAACGCTTGAAAAGCAAAGCTATTTTTATCACTGTAGATTTGAGCCTATTTGTGTATAAACTAAATGTTACCTTCTCTTAATTTATGATGCTGCCTACTATAATATTTTGTACTGTACTGTAAAGCTGCAAAAGCAATTGAAAGTGTCCTCGTTTGTTGTCTGTGCGTGTTTGCTCTTTCATGAATAACAAATAAAACATCAGCGCATGGAAACGAGATCGCCGGTCTTATGTCCGCATTGAACTGGGCTTTAAAATTATAAATGCAAACGAATCAGTTGGCTAAAAACAAATTTATACAGCAGGAGATGTTTCTTAAGGTTTGGCTGTGAGGGCATTTTAAAAGGTAAATAATATACATAGCTATATAATGTTCACCAGTCAAGTTAAATAGTGTTTGTATATATCTGGGTTACTATTTTGTAGAGAGTTGTTTCGTCCTGTGGGCTGTAGCTCATTTTTACTCTGTGCCCAAGTCCAGTCTAGCGCACCGGTCAGCGCTTGTGCCTTTTTGTGCTTTTTATTCATGTGATGAAGTGCAGGCTGCATGTTGACAGTAAAAATGAACAAACTCCACTGGACTAAATGAATGACAATAGAGTGCGGCAGTAAGGTGGTCTATTGCTCCACACACAAAGAAGCCTGCCATGACTGACCCTGTCACCAACTGGCCCACATGTGTTCTCCTGAGATCAGACAGTCAGATTTTGGCAACTGACTACATCTGTCAGTATTTTGGGGTTAATTTGACAAAAGCCTCAATTAGTACTGTGGTGGTGCCAGCATGTACGGTCTGACAAATGACAGTGTCCGGTCTTTGTCTGGCTGCTCTGCATTGTCACCTTTAACCTCCGGGTCACCATTCTTCACACTGCCAGCATGTAGTGAGAAGCAACACTGCAATGACAAAGATGAGAGAGGATTAGAAAGATGTGCTGCCTCAAAGCATAACAGATGAAACTGATGATTTTGCCTACATGATGCAGATGACTAACTGATGATTTTGCCTACATGATGCAGCTCAGATGACGTCTTGTTTTGCCAACAGATTACAGTGCTATAGAACAAGCATGTCACATTTCTGTACATCTTTGTGGACTGTCTGCAAGAAGAAACCCACTGAAGTCAGTACAACTCCGCTCAGCCTCTCTGTTTATTTTCTATAATGAATGGACAGCAACCTTTGGGGTCAGGGGTCGCCTTCTTTCTCACTGTTTAACAGCCTCCCTCTGCCTTCAAATAGCCAAAATATGGATGCTTGAACAAGTGGAGATCAACCTTCACAGGACTTGCCCCTCCCATGTATACAACCCTGGAGCCTCCATGAAGGGACCTGTGGTGAAAAGAGAGGATACTCCCCTTTGTGTCCTCCCAGGAGCAGAGGGGTGCAGGAGACAAAAGGACAAAAGACAAAAAAGAAAGACAGGAGAAAAAAGGAGAATGAGCTGCCAGAGCTGAAATACTTAGACTGTTAGCAAGTCGTGCTAAAAGACTGGTTTTACTAGCACCTCTCTGATTGGCTGATTTAGGACTTGAGGCTTGGCATGGAACAATTTTTATCGGGGTCATTTATATAAATTGATTTCACACTTAACCTCCTGACAAGTTAACAGGGCCTTTTGGGGGCTGTCCATCAGATTAATCTTTATATTAATGTTATATTAATGATAGGAGCAGTGGATGTTTATAACTAATGTTTGCTGGCATTAATTCACTCTGAGGTAAAAGCAAGGACCCGTAATTCTCTCCAAAACAATAGTTAATGCTTTATAACTCTGAAATCAATCTATTAATATGGCCACAGCTGAATTTAATGTTGTGATTAATTTATAATGTTTATTGATATAAAGGAGATATTGTTGTTGCAGGGATATTTTCCCATTTGAGGCCACCTGTGAGCTTCAGATGTGTAAAATAGATTTTTGCATACAGCAGGATGAATAGAAATTCTTTTCTTTTCTCAGTCTGTTAACCTAGAGGAGCTGAGTAGTCAGATATTCTGATGTTTTATCTTCTATTGATTGCCTAATAGCTGTTAGTGTGTGTGCACGCTCGCTGTAGTCTGGCTGATGTTGAGGCTATAGCCCTTGCTCCAGACAGGCCTCAGACTCTCAGCTGAGTGGACCATAACCACACAAGCTCTCTGTCCATCTGTGCCTCAGTCTGCCTCAAACCACATGAAAACTCTGTGATGATGAAGATGAGGGTGAGCTCTGAAATGTGTTACTTTTTTTACTTTTTCTTAAATAACTGTGCGTGATCTTACAGTAAATGACATCTGCCCCCCACCCCCCACCCCGTCAGTGTGTACTGTCCAAAATTACACTTGTTTTGGGACATTCAAGCTCAGCTGAGCTCCGTAATGAGAGTGGATCCACACCCAGTGCTTTTCTTGCATTTTATTGTTTTGTCTTTGTCATGTCTTGGGTTTCGTTCCGCTGAAAACCTTCCAAAAAAGATACTTTTAATCTGTTCATGGATTTAGAGAACATTGCAGCACTGCAAATCTACTAGAAATGTATTTCTGGCCAATGCATATAATTTTATCTCATTTATATTGTTTTATGTTTTTCAATTGTCTTAAAATTCTAACATATTTCCCCACAACATGTAAGTATGTATGTATGGTGACTGTTTGAAAGGCTCTATATTATTATAAACTGCTTTTTCATCCAGTGATTTATTTATGTCCAACAGACTATCTTTTTTGATGTTGACTGTAAGAAAAATGAAAAAATTTCTATCAATATTTTGTTGTTTTTGTCTTATAATTCTATCCCTTACTAAATCCAATAAGTGTTTGCAGTAAATCTAAACAAGTAATATTGCCTTGTTGTCTTCATTATCTTCAAATAATATTTTAGATTTAATGTCAAATTGTAGTAGGGGTCAGTACACTAATAGTAGATGCAGCTGGTTTCGGAGGCGGATTTTTGCTTAACTGCCTTAATTCTCAGCTTTATTCCAAAATTTAGTTTGACCTCACTGAGATTACAGTGCCATGTTACCTCTGGGTCTCCTGCCTTAAAGAAACATTTGAGTTAAGCCATTTAGGTTTCAATGGATCCACTGATCTGTGCCCAAACTCACAGTGGATGTTAAAGCTGGAGGCACACAGAGGCCCCTTGGCCTACATGCTGCTGACTGGATGAAAGACAAATCAAAGTCTGCAAAGCCTCTCCATGTTACTGTGTGTGTCTTCTATGGTGGGACAGATGCATGAGGTGGGCAGATGGCCTTATCCTTTTCTGTGGGGGCTGGTGTGAGGTTCCACTGTGGTCCCATGGGGCAACATATTTTGGCTTACACACACACATACTCACACTCCTCCTCAATCCCCAGCAACTCTAAACCACAAAATCTGCTGCATACCTGAGCTTAAAGTCACCTGGGATCAATTCATCAGTCCATCCATTTACAGTATCTATCATGGTTGTAAGAGAACTAACAAGAACTTTATTTCCTGGCTCCTGTTTAAACTATTTAACCCCTGATGGACCACAGAGCTCTTCTTTTAGGCTGATTCATATGCAACCTCGCTGAAAGGAAGGCTTGTAGGCTGACATCTGGCATTGTCATTCAGGATGTTAGAAAGTGTTACATGGTTCTTCTCCCCATGCATCATGCTTTACAATAGTTCTCAGTGTGCTATTTGTGTGTCTTTATGCATAAGACTGTATATACCCAACTGTTATTCCTCTGGGTGATTAAGCTAGCAGTAGGGTAGTGAGAAGAGGAGCTACTGTTACAATACTGCCTCCCTCACACACTTCTGTTTCTGAATCACCCTGCATTTTCTGCTTCTTGTCTGACTGTGTGTTTGTGTGTGTGTATGCATCTTTATAAATGACTTGAAACTGTGGTTCATCAACAAATCATCTGACAAAAAAAGACATGCAAAATGCAAATAAGTACCCCCACAAAATTCTTGAATTTAGATGTTTTCTACAAGCAGTTGTCGGTGCAACTGATATTTCAGGAAACATAGTTTAGGTTTTCAGAGATGGGAGGGGCAGTGAAATGTTACAAAGCTCAAGAATGTGTAGTTTTTAGTAGTAAACAGACTGCACGTGTTATCCCTGAGGGGCAGGACTTACAACATATGGAGACTATATTCTAGCCACATGTGCATCCATGCACACACGAGGTGACCTCCCTGACTTTAAAGATGTTTGCTGGTAGGCCATCTAATCCTAACTAAGCTGTCCATTTAGATGAACACTTAGACAGCAGCACTCATGTATGGTGCACATCGACTCTGCAGCATCCTGTCAAATAGAGATGTTTGCTTTGTCTTTGTTACTGTTATAGAGGAGGTGAATTGGGGGATGGAGTATGTCTTACACACAAGAGATAAAGATTTAGACTAAATCCCATTTCATATGTATCATATGTAGCTGCATTATGAGCAGAAAAAGAAGTGTCAGGATGGAGTGATAGATTTTATCCATTTTAATGTAGATCAGCCTATAAACACTCTTGGTTTTTCTTCAGCTCCCTTGTTCTCTTCATTTCTTCTTCCAGGAGAATGCACAGTCACCAGCCACACAAGCCAGCTGATGATCAATTCCCCCACAGACCATCATGAGAGTACACGAGTAAGCCACAGTGCCCTATAACCATGCAAACCAAGCCCCCATACATCTTTACACACACTCACATGCATGGATAAATTGAACATGCACATCGAGCAAAAGCACAAAAATCTACACATGCATGCCCATTGGTGTGTTTATGTATATACACAACATGTCATGCAGACACATACATACTGTATAATGTGATGGGCAGAGGGGGCTCCATAGCCATCAATAGCTGTCAGTCACTTTTAAGAAAGCTAACAGCACAGATACAAGGAAGGACACCTGCTTTATCAGCCAGTTAGTCTGCTCCTCCGCTTATCACCTCCTCTGCCTCACACCACCTTCCCTAATACAGCTGCTCTTTTAACCTATGGTTTGATTTGGGGAAACAACATCACAGCTGAAGGAATTTTATGTGCGAGGCAAAGAATGAACACTGGATGGTGATTTTACGTCTAAATCTGTGCAAACCTGAACTGATGGTTTGTGTACCTTTTCCCATATGCTGCTTTATACTGGAGCTGCCTTGTGTCACAAGACAAATTTCAGATTTTATCTGATAAAAGTGTTA